TTTCGCCTTTCCGTTCCCTCACCATCCTTCTCAACGTGGGAATCGAGGTAACTGAATACAATTGTCAGAGTGTGTTTCGCTCAGCCGTCCCACTCGGGTGCTGAGTGTGATCCCCGTCATTGGGGCGCTGTTTCATCGTGAAAGCACTAACTGACTTTGCCACTTTTCACAGGAATTCCACCGGAAGTCACTGACACAACCTTTGAATTAACTGACACAACGGCTGCCGAGCCTTACCACGGGAACTGATTCTCCACCGCTTCAGTGATCGTTTTAGTTTCAGTGATCGTTTTAGTTGTCTGCAGTTTTTGCATTTCTTGACATGCCTTTTCTGCATGAAGAACTCAAGCTAGCCGACCTGAGCTTCCGGAGTTAATTCGATATGCATGACCACAGCCTGCCACCGTTTTTTGAAAAAAGCGCCGAAGACGGCGATCTGTGTGTCAACCCCTGGGCCAAGGGTTTGCTGCTGCCACTTCCACCACCACTTTTCCACCATGTATCACTTGCAGGGGCGTGCAGCATCTGTGGTCCACTGCACGCAACGAAGCTACGACCACAGATGGGAAGGGATCAAGGACGCTTGATCCTGTACCTGCAGATCAACACATTGACACCAATGGTCCACCCTGCCGCTGTTCGTTGGTTCCATGGTTTTTCTTCACGATACTTCCCCCAAACAGGTTTCCCACTGCAGCTTTCAGCCGCTTGTGCATTGCAGCCAGCAGAGCGAGTGAAACAATGTTAAACAGTTCAAATCACCGGACCCTTTCGCCTTTCCGTTCCCTCACCATCCTTCTCAACGTGGGAATCGAGATAACTGAATACAATTGTCAGAGTGTGTGTGTGTGTTATTTTTGTTCATGATTTTTCCATGTACCGGTGGACATCCAGAGAAGCCAATTCAGTAGGGCAACTTCCTCGCAAGATCCGTTGACGTGGGTCATTGAATGCCTTGAATGATTTGATGATTCACTTGAATTATTTGTCCTATTTTGCCCTTCAACTCTTCAACCTTCGCTGGCAATGACATATTTGTCCTTTGTCCTTGACCTCTCCTGTATGCTGCATTGCGACCGGCCACCGCAGCTTGATTGATCAACCTACTCCCGCACCGAACCGCGCAAACGACGACCTATTCCCAAGCATGCTGCGAGCAACTGTCACTGGTGCCTTGGACGGGATCAAGAACAGAGGCGATTCAACATGACTGGAGCAGCACTACTGTAGTCGACTGTTGATTAAGAACCCCGCGAGTCTTCAGAATGGCTTTTACATCTCCAGTCTTGTGGAGTTGTAGTCATCTACATTAAGTCATTGAGTCCTTACATAACTTGTGCACCCTCTATCCATCTCTATCCAACAAACATGTGGGTTTGCCGCCACATCATGCCACTTGGAAGACGAAACCCTGTCGTCTACCAAGCAGGGTGATCCACTCATGTCAACATGTCAACATACCAGAAATCACCGGGGGCAGACTGTGGACTGTGGGAGTTTCCGAGGAGCATTGGCACTGACCTACGCGAGCAGTGAGACATGCTTCCTGCGCTTGGAGAAACCTCTGGAGGAGCCTCCCGTTGAACCCAACTAAACGTTGGACAGGGAATGACAGGGATAATTAGTTGAGGCTGGGGGTTCCCACGGTTCGAGGCTGGGCCTTCCTACATTCTAAGAAAAAAAATGAAATTAATACATGATAATGATGTTTAGTGGCATTTCATGATGTGTTTTTTGATTGCACGTCCTTCATGTGTATGCGTGGCTTCCCTGATTGATTAATGGCACCCAAGTGATGCTAGGATTTCAAAAAAATCTGGAATGCAACAGTTTTTGCGCTTGTATAAGAGTCGATCTGCCACCAAGCCTGAAACATATGTCGAGCAAGGCTCCAAGGAACCTTCCTGGTTTGTTCCTAAGAAAGAGACATACCTGGATCCTTCAACTGCGCAACATGTCTGCCTTTTCCTCTATAAAACCAGCCGAAAGGCAGCATTTTGCATATTTGGAAGATCCAGGTATTACAGATCAATCGATCAATCGGTCGCTCCTTAGGTCTCGTCATGCGTTTGGAGGGATCCGAAAGAGGCCTCCGAAATGGACTTCCAGTACCGAACTTCTGCAGTTTCCGATCCAAATGACGACCTTCTCGGCCTTCAATACGATCTGTCAGGAGCCACCCTTCAGCCAGGCTGATGAGGACGGGCTCTTGACCCACTTTGGGAACAACATCAATTTGCCGCTGGGCGAAAAGGGACAACTGCATGGGCGGTGGTGAAGGCACAGCAGGTCGGCCTTGGCGGAATGGGTGACGACAGATATGGTTCTTTTCCAATCACGACAGATGGGTTTGAATTGTTCAGGCCAGAGACGACAGAATGGATGAAGGAATGATCTGAGGGTTGGACAAAATCTATAGGTTTGGATAGGTTTGGGTCGACCCCCTCCCTGGAAGAGGAAAGAGGAACCCCGTATACGAGGTTCCAAGAGGTCGTCATAGATTTGGTGTGCATTATAAGGCATGGGGAGAATCCCGGTCGCAATGGGTGTCGCCATATCCACAGTCGAGTCCCATTTGGAAGTGGAATCCAATGAAAAACCAATGGCCACAGCATGATGGAATGACCAACATGAGGAAGCAACGCCCATAAATAAGTTGATATCATCTTACAGTAAGTACAATATAGTCTTCATTAGTCTTCCATAGTCTTTCCATAGTTTCCATGCTTCTTTCGACCTGATGTTCTGCAAGTGTGGGTTCTACCGATTCATTTCTAGCAAGAACTCCACCTGAGCGGATTTCACCATTGGACTGATTGGTGTGTATGTATAGTTAGGTAATTACGTATAGTTATAATACTACACTCCATACTTGCAGTGTCCGGGATGTGTTATGATGCTTCCAAGTGATGCCGTCCTCGTCCTTTTGTTCGGGAAACAGACGACGAGACGAACGACCACGACGACCACCCCGTGTCGACCCGACCGTCCGACGTCCTCAGGAACGGCACTGGTGCCGTCATCGCCTCCCCCGGCGCTTGCCCGGCCTTGAGACTCGGCGGAGTGGTTTCCCTTGGGACCAGGACTGCCAGGACTTGGTCGTTTTAGCTGATTGGGGTTGATGAACAACAGTTGAGACCCTGATGTAGACTCCTGAGTGATAAACCCTCCATAGGAAGAGGATGTCCAAATTGGAGGGGTTTAGTCATCAAGAGTCTACATTGTCAGCATCCTCCAACAGGTCACCAATTGAGACCTGTGAGGGATGCTGGCATAGACTTGTCCTTTTTTTTGGCCTGGTTCCACAGCAAATCCAAGATGTGGTCCACGTGGTGCATCTTTATCTTCGCATTGTTCTGGCCTTGGTGTCAAATGCGTGTCCTGTCTGGAGACCTTTCGGTGCAGGCTTGTCCAGCCAGGTGACCCCTTGGAAGCAGCTGGTTGGTTTCCTCGAGAGGGGGGTTCTGCTCTCATGGCCTTGTGGTTTTCTGGAGAGGAGGACGCATACAAAAACTACGAGTTGGTACTGATGATGGAAGCAATCGTTGCTGAACCTGGGACATCACTTAAAACCAAATATCGCTTGGTAGACATCTAGTGTAGTTGGGTGTCAGGAACCGCAGATTCCAAGATCGTCCTTGCAACAAATGACTCCTCATCGTGATGAGACGCTCCGAAATGACCCTTCCTCGTAGTCTATTCTCTTCCTGTTCCGTTTGACGCACACCCTGTTCCGCCCATCTCAGTTTCATCGATCCACCCGGATCCAGCCGCATCCACCCGACATGAGGGTGGAATGCTGCAACATCATGGACAAGCAGCCCTATGGCTTCCACTGGACCCGCGATGCCTCGCTGAGTTTGCTGACCTACTTGGAGCACTCCAAGCACCTTGGCATTCCAAAAAACAATTGTGTTACACAAAATATATATATATGTATGTGCTTAGTTATGTGCTTATATATCATATACCTATACCTATAGATCTAAAAATCTTCCTTGTAGGCACAAATGTCCGCCAATAACATGATTTCTACTGACCCGTTTCCGCCCGAACGCCTAAGCTGCAGCCTCCAAAGTGCCGAGACACATGCGGGAGGCAGAGCCAGAAATCCACCCGAATGCATACCAAGTAACGGGTGCTTGCTGCAGCTACGCGCAAAACATACTAAAAGCATGAATCAAAAGCATATAGAAACACTATAACGACATGGCAAGTGAAAGATCAAGTGAATTCCTGATATACCAATGATTTTCATGTTGGAAATTCCTTCAACCAGTTACTGGGTGGATCCTTATTGACACCAACATAGACCAGAACGCTGTTGTTTTTTTAAAGGGGAGCTAGAACGCCTAGGGACGGGCAAAAAGGCGTCTTTTACCGGCAGAACTGGGTCGGCCCAAGAAGAAGTTCTGGGTCTGGAGACGTGCACGGCTTATCGCCGTGGAGGTCGTCGTGGAGACCTGGAGACGTGGGTAGAAGTAGTAGAAGGTTGCATGGATGTGGCTTTAGAGACCTTTTCAAACATCTCTATTTTTTGGGGGTGGATGTTCTAGTATGTTCTAGTCAGACCCTCAATTTGAGGCGCTAGTCGGGATAAACAGCACCAGCAAAAGAGTCAGACTACTACAAAGAGGTCCACCGGGCTATACCGGCACCCATAGGCTGTTTGGCCCTGTTTGGGTCTTTGAATCCCATAGATAGAGCAGTGTCTATTCCCCATTGCCGGCTCTCAGGCAGTTTTTGGAGGTTGAGGAAGGAGAGGCCTCCCTCCTCCAGGTGTGGATTGCGGAGAAGAGAAGACATGGTGTGTGTGGGAGAGATTACGTTCTTGGACTGAGATCAAAGCCGTAAAGAGGATAACTAATCCAATCTCGTAGAGTCGTAGAGTTTCTTGACTTTGATGGACTATCCATCCATGATGATTTTGTGCAACGCGATGTCAGGTGGGTGGGACATGCTGACAGTTTAGATTTCGATTTTGCTGCAGATGCTCTGCAAGACGCACTCCCAACTCCCCACAGATACCTAACCGATTTCAAAAAATCATATGACTACGAAATCTAGCTATACATGGTTCTACCAGAGCTGGTAGACACTTCTTGTATGGAATAGATGCCCACCTCGCCACCTTGGAGCCCTGACCCCGCATCGTCGACGCCCCGCGTCGTCAACGCCCCGCGTCGTCCTCGGATCAGACACACCGTGGAAAGAAGCAGAACACCATGTGCCTTAGTCAGCTGGACAGGGGGGTCCGGTGCATGGGTGTGGTTGGGTGTGCGTGGTTCTTCTTGGTAACCTGTGGAGACCTTCACCTGTGGGAGAAGGTGTTTTGCGACACATGGACACAAAAGGTGCGGAGACCTGTTTTGCTTACACAACCAGTTGACTGTGTGATGACTCACCGGATCCTGGATCTTCCAACTATGCAGAAACTGCTGCCCCGGACATCCACAGGGTTCCAGGACTCATACCTAGCTACTAGCCGCCTAGTCCAGCCAAAAGGGCCAACATCAACCCTGAGTTGTTGGGTGGGACAGGTTTTCAGGGTTCAAGATGCGTCACTTAAGCTTATAACATCTTATCGACATAATGTTAACTGTTGATCAATCTAAGACTACCTGGATTGTCCAACACATCCTAAACGTGGGGATTGATTGATCAGTATTGATTCAACGGGAGTCAATCAGTCAACTTGATCCACTGAAAAGGGAATGCCGATTTCCATCGATTTCCGGTCCAGTGGTCTTTGACGCCACTTGTCCACCTTGGATCCTAAGACTGGAGATCCAAGACTCGACTTCCACCCGCCAATCGCGCCCACTTGCGCGCCCACTCGTTTCGCCCACTTGCGCGCCCACTCGTTTCGCCCTCCACCGGTGCCATCGATCAAGGCGCGATGAGATCGAGCACAGCATCGATGCCTTCGCTGGTTGGGTGGAGGGCGTGCACGCCCGTAAGATGGCCGCGAACAACATGGGTGGCTCCACCAGCGCTGCCGAGGCGCCATGTTGTTCGTGTCCTTCGCGAGGGACGAGTTTTTGTCCTGTTTTGTAATATTTTGTCTATATACAAAATTCTAAAGATGCCAGCTCTGGGCTCTTGCTTTCATTTTCACAGGTGTGTTGAGACAAGTTAAGTCTGTTGAGATCCGGCCGAGAGATTGAGTCCTTTGGATTCTCGATTGTAAGTGATTTGCCGAGGCAACCCCCTGTCGAAACCGAGCTTTTCCAGCTCATCAACCAACTTTGGCATCCGACTTTAATAGCTGGTCCAAGTTTGATGGAGGTCAATGCATTAGCTGGGTTCAAACCTAGCCGTTTCTTGGTCAAACCTGGATGAGCAGTTGCAGATGGTCGGTTCCGTGTCTGGGGCAAACAGACCAGTGGCTGGATCCCAATGACTGGGCGCCTTGCAGGGGACCGGGCATGATAGGGTTCATGGGAGAAGTGAATTCGGTGGAGTGTGACCAATGAAACCCCGGTCCTGAAATGTCCTGAAGAACAATCTATTATTTTAAGTGATGTTGTATTGATCAACTTCACTTAAATTAAGGTCAAAACTGACCTGTAGAGATGTGTAACCACGACCTCTCGGAGCATCCCAGTGTCTCAATCGACTCAAGGATGGACTGCCGATGCTTCGGTGCTGCCAGGAGGCCTATTTGGAGCCCAAGTGGACCTTCGATGGCGAGCCTTATAAGGGTGGCTGGTGCCGTCCACAGACCGATGGACCCCGCAGGGGCAGTTTTGGGGGTGGCCTTGGCCTCGGCCTTGAAGTGAAGGAACATGGTTCATCCGAGGTCATTGAGGTGTTTGTTGAACTGACATGACTGTATCCCCCATCAAAGCTTCTACAGCGATGGATGACATACATCAGGATCTACTGAATCAATTTTATCATTTTCAGAGTTGGATTGAACTATATGTTAGCTCTCATTATTTTTCAGAGATGGAATCCAATTCTCTATCCAATCTCCATAGACTTTTCAGGTCTCATCATTTATTGAATCCACAATCCGTCCAAAAATGCACTCGCCAGGTACTGTATCAACTCGCTCAGACTCGCAGACTCGCTGTTTCAACGGGAGGCGCTCGGTGGAAAAACCCAAACCGTGCGCAGGACCTCCTTTGCGCGCTCGCCTTCTGATGAAAGCCGCAAAGGTCTTCCCGCGGCATGGCCTGATGAGCCAGGTTTGAAGCAACACTCCTCGGGAGAAGAAAGAAGTATAGTGAATTGCAGAATTGCATGCATAAACTGAAAGCTTCCAACCTATCCGAAGTTCAGTATCCCAAGATTCATGCGGTTTTGACGGATACCCCAGAAGTCCCATACACTACGCGCGCCACAGGAAGTGCCCACTCGTGGGACGTCCCTGGAAGTGACCTATCGTTTGAATCCTGCTGTATTCCAGCACCTCCTAAAGAAGGGTTAGGTCCCTTTGAAAAAGGGTTAGACCCGAAGGGGTCTTTTTTTTTGGTGACCTGTAGAGTCGGGCGCTGGTAGGTGTCAATTCGGATTCTTGGGCTTCTAAGGAACTTGAAGGAGAGGCTTTGGCCATTGGCCAAGAAAGACCTGGATTGGCTCGTGGACAACTTTGCCATGAACAGCTGTGACTTGTGGGAGGACACAAAATCCGGCTGCGACCTGGATCCGGCTGCGACCTCGATTGTCAGTGTTTTTTTTTTCGTGTGCTTCAGCGGGGCGCCTTGCGGAGTTTGATCGGCATGCTGGTGACTATCTATGCAAAAAAATACATGTCGTTCTTGTGTTCCATGATTTGATGGCACCGGATCAGTCGCCCAATGAAGAACGGGCGGAATCGGCATGTTTTTCACCCGCTCAGCAGAGGGTCTTTTCGGAGGTTCGACTTGGCGCCGTCCGTTTCGGCGAAGCACGTGGCCTTCCTGGCCGAAAATCTGCACTTCCGCTTGACTGGCACAATGGCCCCTGATCCCCACCGTCTCCCAACGAGACCAGTGTGGGAGGAGACTCGGGATGATGACTTCGTGTGGAACCGCGTGGTGCAGCTCAGCGCCTTGGCGGAGGGCGCGGACTTCACCGAGAATCCCAACGACAAGCAGAGGCCCTGGGGGGGCATACCTAAGGTGGGGGGAGACCCAAATCATTTGAAGAAGGTGGAGCACCAGTCGTCAAATAATGTGGAGAATGGGATTTGCCTAATTTTTTCTTAGGAGGGATTGATTTGAGCTAATGGTGTGAAGAAAGGGAAGATGGTTGATTAGTAGTATACAAGAGTTTTTTGATTTATATAGAAGGTGGACCCTACTAGTTGAGTAGCTTGTTGGCACCCATTCTTAGAACATTGGCCGGAAGGTTTTGTTGAAGGTTTAGTATTGCAGGGAATCAATGGACTATACTATTCATGAGCTGACATTGACATTATATAGAATTGTAGTTATTTGATGTTATTTTGGGGGTCTTGACAGGGGAGATCTAAGTTTGTTGGGGTGAGGTGATCAGAAGGCTTTTACTTTTTCTTGAAACTCCCCTGTCTTCTTTCCAGGTCCTAACACCTTTTTGGAGACGATCCACCGGTTCAATGGAGGTACTTGGACGCCATCCAGCAGAAGGGTGAGCCCTTGGCAAACCACATTGCCGGCGAGTCAGGTGCAGCCAGATAGTTGAGAGGCAGTATGATAAATAAGTAATATATATATATACATACTTGATTACCTGGAACTGCCTCAGTGTGTGTGTGTGTGTGTGTGTCAACCCCTGTTCCTAAGGGTTTTGGTTTCTTGCATACGGCTAAGTAATCACATGTCCACGTCTTGCAGCTAAGTATTCACAGGCCGGGCATTTACATCCTACCCCTGGGCCTCGTTGCTACCCCACCCGCTATTCGGGCAACAGAAGGAAATCGCACTCAACACACTTGTGTGTTGGTGCCTTTCCTATCTTTCCTTCTGTTTCTCCTAGCTATTGCTAGCTACCCGGGCGGTTTAAGACAAAATGTCCCGCTCGCGCTCTACTTTCATTTAACTGAGTGGGCCTCGTAACTACACCTATCTTTCCTTCTTGCCCTCTTAGTCTGCTTTTGTTTTGTTTGCTTTTTCTGTCTTTCTAAGGCTTTTTAGGTCGCTAGTAGTCTTCACAAAAAGCGCCAATATTGGCGCTATATGTACAAAGTTTTGCGACCGGTGGACACCAACGACGCTACTAGGGGCTTCTGGCCTCGCTACCAGGAGCCAGGACCTCTGACCTTTCTACAAGGTGTAAGGACGCTACTAGGGCCGCTGGCTTTACTACTAAGGCCTCCTGGTATCGCTACTAACTTACAGTCTCTCAACGCAGAAAAAAAAGAGGCAGGGGGACAGAGCTCTCTGATGCTACTCTGTCCAACGAAGCTATGCATGAGAGAGGGAAGCATCCACTGGCCAGGGATGTGTGCCTGCCGAATGATCAAGCTGTGACTCCACTTTCCACGTTTTTGGCTCATGGTTCTTCATGATACTCCCCACAAACTCTTCCCCACCACCGCCGCTTTGCGCCGTTCTGCAGCTGACAACATTGTTCAACAATACGGTTTTGCGGACTCATGCACCTTTCCGTTCCCTCACCTTCCTTCTCAGCGTGGGAACTGAGTGTAACTGAAAACCAATGTCAGAGTGTGTTTCGCTCAGCCGTCCCACTCGGGTGCTGAGTGTGATCCCCGTCACTGGGGCGCGGAATTCATGCCGGAAATCGTGTAACTGAGCTTTTCCACCTTTCACAGGAATTCACCACTTGATCAACCTTAACTGAATTTACTGCTTCCACGGCCGCCGGGCCAAAAAACGGGATGCATCGACCAGCTGAGTTCGTTCTGCATCGGTTTTGTTCCTTCATTTCATGCACCTAATTCGATATACTTTGAAAAAAGCGCCGGTACGGCGATTTGTGTGTGTCAACCCTTGTTCCTAAGGGTTTTGGTTTCTTGCGTACGGCTAAGTAATCACATGTCCACGTCTTGCAGCTAAGTATTCACAGGCCGGGCATTTACATCCTACCCCTGGGCCTCGTTGCTACCCCACCCGCTATTCGGGCAACAGAAGGAAATCGCACTCAACACACTTGTGTGTTGGTGCCTTTCCTATCTTTCCTTCTGTTTCTCCTAGCTATTGCTAGCTACCCGGGCGGTTTAAGACAAAATGTCCCGCTCGCGCTCTACTTTCATTTAACTAAGTGGGCCTCGTAACTACACCTATCTTTCCTTCTTGCCCTCTTAGTCTGCTTTTGTTTTGTTTGCTTTTTCTGCCTTTCTAAGGCTTTTTAGGTCGCTAGTAGTCTTCACAAAAAGCGCCAATATTGGCGCTATATGTACAAAGTTTTGCGACCGGTGGACACCAACGACGCTACTAGGGGCTTCTGGCCTCGCTACCAGGAGCCAGGACCTCTGACCTTTCTACAAGGTGTAAGGACGCTACTAGGGCCGCTGGCTTTACTACTAAGGCCTCCTGGTATCGCTACTAACTTACAGTCTCTCAACGCAGAAAAAAAGAGGCAGGGGGACAGAGCTCTCTGATGCTACTCTGTCCAACGAAGCTATGCATCAGAGAGGGAAGCATCCACTGGCCATGGGTGTGTACCTGCCGAATGATTTCAAGCTGTGACTCCACTTTCCACGTTTTTGGTTCATGGTTCTTCATGATACTCCCCACAAACCCTTCCCCACCACCGCCGCTTTGCGCCGTTCTGCAGCTGACAACATTGTTCAACAATACGGTTTTGCGGACTCATGCACCTTTCCGTTCCCTCACCTTCCTTCTCAGCGTGGGAACTGAGTGTAACTGAAAACCAATGTCAGAGTGTGTGTTTTTGTGCGGCGTGAAAAACATCTTTCGGAGTCACAGCCTTGTACTTGAGTTTGCAGATGTTTCTCTAGTTTTCTGATTGTTTCTGATATTCCACGGGCGCTTATGCACAAGCGACGGGGGTATATTGGTGAGCCGCGGGCGTTTGTGTTTTTCTTGCTGCGGATGTTTATGTGGCTCACAGACCTAAATGAAGGTATGTTGAACTACCAACAAAAAAGATACAACCACGAGGTTGCAGGTATAGATATACAATGGAGGATGATTGGGAGTTCTCCCGAGCACATGAGACTGGCCCCCTAAAGATAGTAGTGTGTACTGTAATGTCCCTCAAATTCCTTAACTATGCATTTGTTGTTCTATAGGACAACTACGTGTTGTTTTGCCTGAATAGGATCACATGAGTCGCGTTTAAAAACCGTTCCGACTGAGGGCAAGTTGAAGGGAATGCAAGTGGGACATTGGAAAAGGAAACTTGCTAAGCGGACAACCTTTGGTAAAAGGTCAAGTCATGTATAAATCCCAGTAGCGACACGTACCGAGCAGGCAGTGCAGGGATGGAAGCCGTACATTAAATCGCTTGCCGTCCTTTACTATAGTGTAAACACATCGGCATCGAGTGCTTGACTGTCAAAATGTTCAGTGTCCATGTTCGTGTGCGATCTCTTCTAAACATTAAATTCAAGCACGCCTCACAGGATTGTGCTGTATTCCTACTACTTTGTTCTACTCCCGTATATATGTCCAATTGCCAAAGATCCCACCCTTTGCTCCGAGTTTGGCCTTTTTGCTTTCACTTTCTCACCCCAGTCTTGGCGCCATGTCGACATGGGCAGGTGAGGAATACATCACCAACTGCCCGGCCTCCAACATGGGCGAGGACTGCGTCAGGTGCGCTGGACCGAACGACCGGACCTGCCGGTGTCGAGGCCAGGTGTCAGGTCGCAGAAACCGTCGTTCCAGACACCGTTCGTGTAAGGTGGTGGTGTGTACATCCCGGTGTGAATTTCCCCTACAGATAAGTGGGCCTTCAGGCCTTATAAAACGAAATTATAGTAATTTTTTAGCCTGACCTGGGTAACGTCGAGGCCTTCGTTATTGTAGAAATGGACGTTGTGCGAAGTAAAATGTATCTATGGCCTTGTGTTTTGTAGATGGAAAGATGTTCTGCATTGGGACGTCGTGCAACTCATTCTATAGAGAAGTAGTCGGAACCCCCAGAAAGTATTTTGTAGAGGATCTGTGTTAAAGGTGATGAGAGGAAAATATTCTATAGAGATTGAGATAACAGTGTCCTTTGTGTTTTGCCTTCCTGTTCACCGGAGCTTTTTCAAGGAGGCCCATAAAGAAGTGTGTATCAGCTCAGATGCAAAAAAGGCAACACGTAGGAGTTGATGGACAATGAAAAAGAACACCCATCGGCACAGCAGGCTACCAACCCTTGGGGATGGATGGTGCCAAGCGTAATGTGTGTGACAGACAGACCAGTGTGTGCAGAAGATGTCAGAATCTATAGAATGGCTGGGAGGCATTTTTGTGCTACAAACTGACACGGAATCGTCAGTTCTATAGAATACGTGTGGTCGATGCAACAAAGATAAAAAAAATGTCTACAGAATACCTCGCACGACGTTTGGCTATCCGAACATCGCCCTGTCTACAGAATAAAATTCCAACGTCAGCCATGTCATCTTGCCAAAATCTCAAATGTTCAAAAACATAGTGTTTTTGCAATTTTCAATCTTGCAAGATAAAAAGGCCTTATGTCAGAAGGCCACTCATTCTGTAGACTGGTGGGGACCTCAGTTCAGCTATTCTGTAGACCTGGAGCAGGCAGGCCGGTTTTGTACCTATAGAATGGGGGCCCCAACCCTTACCCCTAAATTCACACGGGGATGCGTGTACGTATATTTAGGCTTATCCCATACACATGGAGTGTGTTTGGGTGTTTGGAATCGCATTGGCGTCTGCTGGCGGGAATGGTCTCGTGCTGCGGTCGTGCTGCTCCTGAGGTATGACAAGCAGTTGGATGGTGTCCTGATCTTGACCTTGATCCACGGACACCCCATGGTGGCCACGGATGCTGTGAAGCTCCCCAGCTTCTTGGCGCCTTGGATTCGTTCGTTTGGATGGACAAAAGGAGCAGGATTGGCTGGATGGGAGAAGATGTTTGGACGATGTTTCGATGACATGGCATAAAGAAGCTAGTAGGAACAAGTGCATCGCTTCTAGTAACAAGTGCCTTACTAGTAGTAACAAGAAGCTAGTAGTAACTAGTAGTAATTAGTATAGGCAGTGGTAGTAGATGACCACTGAGTCCATTCGCAGAGACCGTCCGGGGCGGTGCTTCTTCCGTCCCTGCGATCCGTCCGCCCCGGCGCCCCGGCTTGTTCGATGCCTTTGGCCAACGGGTTGGGACGGTTCGGTCTGTCCAGAAGTATTGCCTTCTTTCCAGAAGGGTCACTTTTGGGACTGGTCAGGGTCACTCTAAAGGTCACTGACAGAAGGATGGAGAGTCGCCACCATAGTGATCTTTCAAGTTGTGACCTTGTAAGAGGCGCTCAGTGACCTGTTCAGAGGCTCAAGTGACCTCAAGTCACCTGAAGTCGCTGGGATCTCAAAGGGTCACTTTGAAGAACCAGTGCAACATGTGCAAGTTTCTTGCCTTATATATAGTCTATATGGCCTGGAAGAGGACTTTCGGCTTTCAGTATTTTTCATATTTGTCCAGGTTCCACTTGGTCCCCCAAAGAAGAACCTGCAAATAGAGCACTTAACAAGCTCTGTGTTCTTCCCTCAATTTCAGAAGCACTTCGACAGGAACCAGAAATGCCCAGACCATTCCGATGATCCGACATGCACATCATCAGCTCCAGCTCCGCTAGGGTTCTGCGTCTAGATGTGTTGAACATTCTGGAGTCTCCCAATGATTGATCAATCCTCCCAATATCCTCGCAATGGAAAAGCCTTTTCCTATGGGGTGGTTCATGAATCAAGAGTCTACATTAGGTGGTCTAGACCTTAGGCGGTCTAGACCTTAGGTGGTCATCAAGAATCAAGAGTCTACATTAGGTGGGTTCCAAATCAGTGAAGTCAAGTCTTGGTCTGGTCCAAGGATGCGAAAGTGGCCAACACCGTGAAGCAGCTGTGCTTGGTGTGACTCGGTTTCAGGTGATCCCAGGCAAAAGCGGCTTTTTATCAGAGTGGGTAGTCCCCAAATAGATAGTGAGACTAGGGTTTCCAATAGGACCTTTTGGTTGGGTGATCTATATACTTTTCATTACTTTCTATCTGTTTGGGGGTCTATATCTATGTATATACAGTATACACAGAGTCTACTCATTTTTGATCCCTAGGTGATATGTCTGCCATGCACGATAGACCATGATAGATGATTCAGGTCAATGACTCATCTTCGACACCACATCAGTCGACGTCCTTGATTGGATAGAGAATTGATGGAACATATTTGATAGCTTTTGGATGCTCTTAATCTCTCAGCATCATCCTTTGGAACAACTCTGGGCGGTGAGGCGTAACTTCGGAAGGGGGATGCTGCAGTCCTGCAGGTCGATACCAGCTGTGGCTGTAAATCACTGACGTACGACCAGGTCTTTCGCATCCGGTCGACCAGGAACAAGTTTTGACGGTTGACCCATGTTGAGATCTAAGGAGAGTTGATGAGACCAGGCTGACTTGAAAGTGCCCTGTGAACTTTCTGACCGATTGACAGAAGCCCAGGTTCTGCAAGAGCTATCCCATCAACACACAGGACACCGACGCCAAGGTGCCGGGCGTGCTGCTGGGCCGCTACGAACTGGATCACTTTGGCCACCAGAGCCAAGGAAACCCTTGGGCCGCCTGGGCCGCAAGCCGCCGACGTCGGGGTCTTGCAGTATATGGACATTATAGGACTATATACAGGAAAGATGTACTGTATATATGAATGAGGAGTGGCTGATGGTCTGGACTCCAGGTGCTGGACTGGTCGCTTATGGTCGCTTGAATGTAAGTCTTGAGAGTTGAGAACTAGGAGTCCAATTCCCGTAAGAAGGCACTGTGTCATCGCCACCTTTGAAGACATAACTCTTAAAACAGTTCAAAGCAGGACAATCAGGACTGAGGGATACTATCAGAACAAATTCTATACAACCCTATGAAGCAATAGATCCCATGAGAAGTTGATCCACGAAGCCCCCCCACCTCCTCCTGTGGTCTCCCTGGTCTCATGGCTCCGGCTCTGCTCGGCGTCCGACTCGAACCCCCGGCGCCCAAGGTCCTGATCACCGCGTCCTTGGCGAACCTCCTCTACAAGGTGCGTTTCGCTCGCGCGCGCTCGCTCGGTGGCGGATCGCCGGTTTAGCGGTGTAGACGGCCATGGACCATTTAAAACCAGTGCTGCTTGAGAAGAAAGCACGAAAGGGGCATGTGACTCACACATTGTTCGGTATGCGGCGGTGGTTGGTTTTTTCCCGCGCTTTTGGGGACCATTTGTTCCCTGCGCAACCGTGAGACACCGATGGTTCCACCTCTCTCCCGCGCTTCGCTCGCCTCGCCTTCGTCCGAACTCGGTTTGAGGCGGCAGCTGAAGTGAGCCAAGGCGGAAAGGCAGACCCAGCTTGGGCGAATGTCTTCCAGAACTCCAAAGGGGACTGGTGGCACTCAGGCGGGGGCGGCACCTCTTTGCGCATGTGGCACGGTCTCATTCAATCTGTTTGCGCGAGAAGCGCGAAGTCAGTCCTGCAGGTGTTGGCGTTTGATTCTGCTTTTGCAACATCCGGGCGTTTCTGGCTCGAGAATGTCTGGACTGGATATGCCGTTCTTATGACGTTTATACTTTTTTGCTGAAGGATATTCACAGGCTGGCTTCTTAACAACCAGGACCCAGGACTTTGGCTCAGCATGGCATTTCTTCCCAAATTTTAGGATATGAGGCCCGAGGGACCTTCTGTACCGCTGGTTCAAGTACTAACTTTATATACCAAACCCCTGTATTGCCCCTCTCTCGCGATCTCGCCTCCCAGAGCGCGACCAGGCTGGACTGGCTCCGCCAAGGACTTCATCGCCGCCGGCGACGGAGTGCTCAAGCGCTTGCGTCATCACATGAAAGACGGCATGCACCTCTATGCCGCTCGGCGTGAAGAGTGTGTTGCAATGTTGTTTTTTTTTTTTTTTCTGCGGGGGGTTATATGATATCTGTAGAACTGTAGAACTGTTGATTAGTAAAAACCTCCCTACCAGAATGGTTTGTCATCTCCATTGAATGAGTGATGAGTGGTTTATGAATCAACGGTCTACCTGAAGGGAAGGGACGTGGCATTTGGCCAGCAACGGCTGAGTGAAGCTGGAGATCTGGAGAAAAGATGCTGTTTGGACTTTTAACATGTATATACCCTGGGGCTCCTGTCCCATCTCCTCAGGTTCGGTGGTTAGACCCCCCTGGCACCCCAACCATCTCAGAAGGTGGTTGGAGCTCTAGGGATAAATCATAAATCATGAAGAATACCTTTGGGTCGTCTCTTCCCAAAAGACGGTGTCTTTGTGTGACAAGGTGGGACATCAAACGAATTCGAAGGGAGTCTTTGCTGGGGTCCCTTTCAAACGGTGTCTTTCCGCATCCATCTTGGATTTTAGAGCACTTGAGCCGGCACTGGTTCGATCTCGGTGCTTTTTCAGTGAAAAAGTGCGGCAAACATTTACACTGCCTGAAATCATCATGGAAGTGGATGGCATGGCCCCAGGAAAGACAATTCTCAGAATACCAAACAGGTGGTTCTCCACTTCGATTATTCTCTCAGGGAGTGTAGACTGTCAAGGCAATGGGCGGAAGCTGGACCAGGTAGCTGTTAGCTGGTGATGGATGGGTGAAAAACACCTGTTGTCGTTGTTTTTTTCTCTGGGAGGATCTATGCGGACGAACAAGCCTGCATGCACAGCGCCATCGAGGGTCTCTGAATCAACTTCTCCACTTTTAGGCTTAACGGGGCCCCGTTTACGGTGCGTGACCAGTTTCCAAAACCAGGAGCAGATCGACAAGCACTCCGGCGAACAGTGGAATGCCAAGGACTTCGACGCATGCCCGACGAATCGCAGGGAGACGTTTGTGGAGGAAGCGAAAGTGGAAGTTGGTGGAATGCAAGACTAGAAGCTCTTGAGGTGCCCCAAGGGAAGAGCACACTTAACTGTGTTTGCAACCCCACAGTTCATGAAAGATCCATGTTCGTTGGGAGACTTTTGGGGGGGGTCACATCTAGCATATGAAGCACACCGGTTGGTTGGTTGTGTCCTGGACCAGAGGCCACGGTGGGCGTGTCGTGATGTGTTTTCTCATTTGGAAAGATCCGGGCACAGAAGGTTTTCCCTCGACAATCCTCGATACCTCTCTTTTGTTTGAGAATGTTGGCCGAGTATGCCAGATATATGATGTATGGGAAGTGCCTGAAACACCACAGATTCTGGACATGTAATTCACAAATCGTGGAGGTTGCCTGGGTGTGTATATACAAATATAGTGTAAACTAATATAATGTATATATATAAATACATACACCTTCATTAGTACTTGAGAGTGCATGAGGGCAGGCTTCATGAGCTTCGCTAGTTGAGGACAGTTTGGCTGCCCTAGACAATCAGAATCCCAGTGCAGCATTTTAGTTTTCTATTTGTATTTCACAAATCCTACCGCTCTCCCACTTCAAGTTCCCAACCTGCGCTTCTCCATCATCAGTTGATCCAAAGTACACAAGTTAGAGCACACGGCACATGTCCTCATAAGATCTAGAAGGTTGAATCCAGCACTTCTCGATGCCTGATAAAGAGTGCGCAAACGCAGGACCTCACCTGGAGCTATGCTGAGGTCTTGGGTGCTATGCAGTCCCGGCGCAAGGCATTGAAGCTTTGCGGAGGAACTTCCGGCTCGTGCCATTAGACTCTCTATGAATCTCTGGTGACGCGGGTTTTTGCCGTAGGGAAGCTAGAGCAGATAAATGATGTTTTCTCGCGGGTTTTGGCTGCTAGATTTAGGATTGAGTATGACTGACTCGAAATTGTGACTGCTATGCCTCTATATAGAGAACCATTGGGTCATGTTGGCAGAAGAGAATGGGTGTTCTGGGCTGTAGTGGGCCTAGAAGAGGACAGCAAACAAGTTGGACAATGACAAAGGAAAACGAATCGTCAAACCTTATATTGATTGTATCCTTCACTGCCTATGAAAGGCCGTGACGGACAGGGACCGCAGGTCGCGCTACATTTATTGTATTCGTGGCGGATCGTTTTTCCCGAATGCGTAGCGAAGGGTTCTCGTTTAACTCTTTGGGGGTCTGGGGGTAGAGCCTTGTTCGCGACCCGTTGTGTCTATGTTCGCAACCGTCCGCAACCGTTCGCAACCGTTCGCAACCGTCCGCAACCGTTCGCAACCGTCCGCAACCGTTCGCGGTAGAGCGCTAAGGCGCTGCCATTGGGGGAAGCTTTTGCAAGTGACTATGCATGGATGTGTCACGTGTTAGTTTGCGACGCGAGTCCATTGTGATTTGCGTGAAAAGGACATGTCGCGCAAGAAGCGTGATGCATTTCGCTGCACAGGCGCAGCGTTTTGTGAGATCCACAGTTTGCTACGCAGTTCCATTGGGATTAGCGTTTGGAGAGTCGTGTCTTTGGGGTGTTGGATGTGGCCGTGCCATTGGGATTTGCGTTTCAGGGTGTGGCATCGAAGCTCTGTTTTCGTGACAAGTCTCAGCTGAAACGCCGATTTTGGACTCTGGGAGTGTGCTCAGAACGGGTCGAAATCATTCCAAACGTGTGGTGTGGTGCAAATTTTGTTGAAGCTCACATGAGATGACATTGTTACTTTTCGTGGCAGGCGCAGGACTTTGTGCGGGCTTTGAGGCGTGGAAGTGCGATTCTCGTGGCAGGCGCAGGGAATCGTGAGGTTGCGAGGTGTGACGGAGGTGACATTTCGTGGCAGGCGCAGTACTTTGTGCGCGTTAGACGTGTGGACGCGGAAAGATTCGTGGCAGGTGCAGGGAATCGTGAGGTTGTGAGTTGTGGTATAAGGTGAATGTCGCTGTCACATTGGGATTGGCGCGTGAGCGGATGTTGTTTGGAGGGGCTGGAATCGCGAAACTGCTTGGCAGGGCTGCGTGATGTGTGTGCTCCGATGGGTGCTTCCACTTGACTTTTGGAGGAAGTCTCGTACGAAACGCTCGTTTTGCAGACTTTGACGTGTGAGTTTTTGAGGACGTCTCGTACGAAACGCTCGTTTTGGAGACTTGACGTGTGACTTTTTGAGGAAGTCTCGTACGAAACGCTCGTTTTGGAGACTTGACATGTGACTTTTTTGGAGGAAGTCTCATACGAAATGCTTGTTTGAGACTTGACGTGTGACTTTTGGAGGACGTCTCGTACGAAATGCTCGTTTTTGAAACTTGACGCGTAACTTTTGGAGGAAGTCTCGTACGAAACGCTCGTCTTGCAGCCTCGCAGCATGACTTTTGGAGGAAGTCTCGTACGAAGAGTGTGCCCTACAAGAGTGTCCCACAAGAGTGTCCTACAAGAGTGTCCGAAGAGTGTGCCCTACAAGAGTGTCCCACAAGAGTGTCCTACAAGAGTGTCCCACAAGAGTGTCCTACAAGAGTCCCCTACAAGTGTCCCGCAAGAGTGTCCTACACGAGTGTCCCACAAGAGTGTCCTACAAGAGTATCCCACAAGAGTTTCCT